GCGGTCACGAATCTGAACATTAGTTTCCCCGTCAATGGGAAGTTCAAATCCCGGTTCTTGAGGTCGTCTGATTGCAGGAGGATCTCGGAGTAGTTTTGATAAGTCTATACCATCTTTCGCAATGATTCCCAGAAATAATTGTTGATTCCATTTCTCCCACTCTATTGGTGGGTCCGCCGAGGCTTTTTGCCAGAATGGTGAATTTCATAATAGGTTTTTCGTAACTGCTGGCTGCGCCATGTTATACCCACGGAAAGTGTTAGATGATTTGAGATTCTAATTGAAGTCCGAAATAAGATTGAATGACTAACTTAAATTCAGATTGTTAAGAAAGAATCTGTTTTCGGTTTTGAACTGACCTCGAAGCATGTGAGAATCAGAACTCATAGAAACTAGTACATAACAAGTTGATGAGTTTTAGTTTTACATAGTATCGTATTAGAACAGATCTCTATAGATTATAGAAATATACCAATTGGTTACATATGTAGATATAAATATAGTGCCGAGTAACTATATCAGTATAGTAATGTTTTAGTTGATGTGGTCTATCTGACCCAATGAGTTTCTTTACTATACGCTGTATAGCAGGGGGGGGGTGTACGCGGGGGATGTTAACAAGGACGTGCCAGCGCGGAAGCTGTAAAAGTGAAGGGGGCGTAGAGTGTAGAAAGAGTGGATGAGCAGTCTCCATCTGAATTGTGTACTCTGTTTGATTCTTGATATTTTCTGAATAGTTTACAAAAATAAATCCATTATAATCCATTATAACTCCTTATGATCCAATAAAATTTAAGCAGTCAAAAAAGTGATTCGTTTTAAATTGTTCCTCAATCTATTTTTGTGAACAATTTTGCAAAAAAAATCTGAACAGAACGATCGAATTAGAATTTTGGAGAGCTTCAATAGTTGTATGAATGTAGTACACTATCAAGCGGGGGTTTGTCATACATAATTGACTATTAGATATAGAAAGTAAGGCACCCATATATTAATTAATCATCAAGTTCACTTTGTAGTAATTCAAATTGCCTTAATTGCCACATGGGATTTTTTGACTACTATTTTATTTTTTCTTGCGAAAAGCTGCAATTAAATCAGTTACATGTTGCTAATTCAAGCAAAACAAGATTTTTGTGATTTTTGATTCATTTGTTAGTTCATTTAGTTTTCGTTTTTTTTTTTCAGTGGCTCAGTTAGAACGAATAACTTTTCACGCTTTTGGTTTGATTTCTTGGTTGAGTGATGTAAATATTTCCTAAAACTGCCAGAGATTTTATATTACAAACTCAAACTCCTAAACCTGCAGATAACTCAATTTGTCTCGGTCATTTGACTTAGTTGTAGCCTTTCGGAAAAAAGCCGAGACACTCCTTGAAAACTATTTCGCAGGTTTTTTTGATAAAAAAATTTTTACTGCCTGAAAGTGCCTTATGAAGTTTCAAATGCTGTTATAACTTAAACAGGCAGAAAAAATAGCTTGACTATGGCGATATATATGCCAGACGCAATTACATTTTAAGTAGATTAGGACTTAGAACTTTAGAGAAAAATAAAATTCTTATAATAGGGCAGACTTTCATGTCAAAAATTTTGGAAAATTTTAGCTTTTTGTTCAAATTAAAGCATTTAAAAATTTTAAGATGATTTACAAGAATTTTGCAATTAAAAAAGAAATTCCGCAATGGAAAACTTGACATTTTTACATGCCTTCACTTGTTTTGCATTGACCAAAATTTTGAAAACAATCTCTTTTTGACATATAATCTCAAATTTTGTCATATAGCGGCGGACGTGTTTTAGGTAGGGCTTAGGTATATATCAAAAAAACTGCCTTTTTATATCGCATTTAAAAAATAAAAAAAATCCAGTTTGTCATTATTTAAAGTTTTAATACTAACAAAAAATCTTCTATAAATCATTATAAATCATACTCGATCTCTCATAAAACTTGCTCGGTTGCTCCCTTATTCGCTCCAAATTAGACAAATAGCAAAATCCTTAAAGCTTTTTTTTCTGGAGTTTTTTTCAAAATTCTGGAAATGTCTTTCGAGTTACGATTGATACTGCCTTAATGCAACATTCGCCCGGAGAGTACATTACTACGGAAAGTAAAACTATATCCTATAGCGACTGACTAGCGTCAAGATAGAGCATCACGTGATTTTACCAAATCCAGTTCAAAATGGTCCTCATAACATTGGGTTGACAAAACAGCTTAGAGGCTATCAGCCGAGTCGCGCAAATTAACTTAGTTGTATGCAAATTAGTGAACTCATGGCTGAGTCCAAAAACGGGGTAGATACATCATCATTATTATATTACTAGGTTAGAATTGTTTTTGTTCAGTAGAGAAAATTGCACTATCCATAGGAAACGGATCGACCTTTTTCTTAAACCCTAGTTTCCCATAGCCTAAAACTGAAAGGAGATGTTATAATTTAAATTCAGGACATCTCTGGAAGCTCGAACTTGTGAAAATAACAGTTCAGGAGTGTGAATCCAGACCCCTCCGTTTTCAAAATATATTCAAAGAAATGTCTTCTTCACAACCAGGAAAAATTGCTGTGTTCACTTTCGGCCTTGCTGATTCGCTCAATTCTTCCAGTAAGGATTGTCACAGCACAATCGTTACAGTTCGGAAGGCTTCTTCCCTTCTTCCCAATGGTCGTCTCTGTTAGCGTTATTGCATATCCTTTCGATCTCGCTCGTTGTGGTTCTCTCTTCTACTAGCTAAAATTGCGGTTCTGATTTTCTGATTTTATATATGAATACTCTGATTCAAATTAATCCTTCTCGACTGGATTCATTCAATTAGACGATGAACAACCTTAATCCCTCAAAACAGTTGATTTTCTCGTCAAACTGTTCGAATGAAACTTCGTTTGCTGCTATGCATTTCTGGTCGTCCTGGTCGAGTGTCACATAAAATGATTTTTTTTAATAGGAATCATTAAAATAATTATCTGTGGTATCATTATATTGCGCAGCAAAAAAATTAAACACCCATGAATGCCCAATTCTTCTTCTCTGTCAATGGTCGGAACAACAGCTAAACTTTAAAAAACAAGCACAGGAAAAATAAACGCGCATTCCGCAATGTTTATCAAACTTGTTCAAAACAATCATAGCTGAATCATGAGCTGAAATTATAAAAGATGAAAAAAAACCTAATTATGTTGGAAAAATGTCATCTAAACCAAAACACCGAATTTTCCAATAGAAAAGTTGAAAATAATTTAAAAAGAAATCAAATATCAAACAGCAAAAAAATTAGATTTAACCAATTTTAGGCCTTTTTCTTGAAAATTTTTATTCAAACACGAAAAAACTAATTGGTTTAACTGTCTTCATTGATACTAAAATGTAAAAAAGTTAATTATAAAAAAATTTTTCCATTTTTTTGAATATTTTGAGATTAGAGGTAGCGCTTTGGTCCGACAAAAACTCAAGCTAAAAAAATTTAGTATACAGCATAATGCAATTAGGTGCAAAATAGACTCATTTATTCTGTCATTGACGGTTTTCAAATAAAAGTAAAATCTTTATCTAAAGCTGGTCCGAAAAACTTATCAAATCGACGCTGTATCGAAAGCTGGTCCGAAAAAAATGAGCTATTTACAAACATTTTGGATTATGAACCAGCACACGACAAAATCTTCAAATTAGGAAGAATAAACAAAAACTGATGTTTTTTGTTTTCAGCCTTTGTTTGCAAGACTATTTGAATACTTCCTACTTTTCCATTTTGTAATCATTGAAAGAAACAGCTCTGTTAATACATCTTTCAAAAACTATTTTGCGATATTTCTGGAAATTAATGTAACAAAACTTAGGCAGTCCTTGAATAAGTCAAAAACCGAAAAACTGATAGCCCCCTCAAAATTTGAAAATTTAAAAAAACCTCGAAATTTACAAAATTTTCGTCAATTTTGGTTGTGATGTTGCCTGCTCTATTAAAGTTGTTTTTGTAAGGAAACATCGTTTCCATAAATAGCGCCATTTATGGTGCGACGTATGGTTTGCATGGTAGAAAAATTTAAAATCTAATAAAAGTGTATTTTGTACTACAGATACTTTTCCTCAGTCATTGTTGTCATTTAACCTCTAATTTACGGTTTTCTGGAGAAAAAAAAATGTGGTGAAAAATCTCTTCCATACGTAGCACCATATATGTTGCGACGTATGATTTCCATGGTGAAAAGTTTTGATATTTTACCAACAGCTTGCATATCAATGAGAAACCGTTTTATTACTATTCTACTCCATTAAAAAGCTATTTTGAGGGTTTTCGAAACCAACCTATGTGCTACGTATGATTAGTCATTTTCCATGCAAATCATGCATGGATGTGCATGGTTGCGCATTATCTTCTATGGTGGGCAACCCGGGCAGTGTCATGATGCATACAAGAATCGATAACGGTTAGTTACAGAGAGATTATAGTGAGAACAAACATTTGAGAACAGTTTTATCTTCAAAACATGTTAAAATGCTTGCTTAAAAAACACATGGTTTAAAATTGTTTACAAAAAAGACGGTAACAGATTACAAGTCTTTTGTCATAATAATGTGATCTTTTTTAGCTGAAACAATATCCATAAGAATTTTTTTTAATTTCCAAAGAATTTTCACATTCATTCTCAGTTCCTAGATCAATTCAATATTTGCGGTAAGTTCACATTAAAGTAATGAATGGATGATAGTTTTTAACTTTTCCATATAAAACGGTGATTGTACAATCTTGCATGAGCCATTTTTGATCTAATGAGATAGTGACACAATTCACATAGATACCGCTCGTCTCAAAAATCTTTATTCGGGAACACGACTGTTCAAACGACAAGTTGACAAAAAATAACATAACTTTAAGTTTTTAGGGGGTGTTATTAACTACATTTTTGATTCAATTCAACGCTGCTCTTACGCTTTCAAATTTGGCTGAGCATATCTGTGTATGATTTTGTGAATGAAACTCCACTTGACTCAACTTTTTTTAGGTTTCAAGATCCACCAAGATCCCTTGTATACCCTAAAATTCGGCACAATGGTAGCAAAGAGTGATAACTTGAAAAACACCACTGGTACTTCAATTGGCCTTGATCAGCACAATGGATTGGCTTTCTCAGCTCCTGACAGAGACGAGGATCTCTGGGATCAAAATTGTGCTGCCGAAAAACAAGCTGGTTGGTGGTTTAGGAACTATCACCATGTGAACATTAACGGAAAAATGGCCACCACAAGTACAGTAAACAGTTTACAAATGTCGTACACGCATGATAAGGAAAGGCAAATAATTTCATGGAGTGAGATGAAAATGATTCGTGTTGCCTAATGGGTTAGATGACGATGATAAAGGACACTACTGTAGTAACAAATTGATGACACTAATTAATATAGCGCTAATATATCACTAATTATTATGATGACACTAATTAATATATCGGAAATTAGAAAAATCGATCAGCAGAAAACAATTTCTTCTTAAAAGTTTTGCTTTTGATATTCTTCAAAAAAGTAGTTTTCAGATCAGTTAGCTAGACTTAAAAATTGGACAATTCTACTCAGATACAATTTTTACTGTTTCAACATTAATCATTCCAGATTTGAAAAAAAGTTGCAGATTAGGGAAAGGCATAGTTTTTATCTCATTAACATGAAAAAGTTACCACGCTGAGCTATCTGTTCAAAACATTTGAGAAGCCAATTTTGAAAACATTTGGTTTGCTTACGGATGATATGATCGCCCAAACCATTCAAATGTTGATCTAAGCTTTGCATAAACTTTCATTACAGAATCGTTCTCCAGTGTGATCTTTTTACGGCAAGTACTTCTAACATTACAGCCAATTAGGTATCTTTTCCCTTTTACAAACTTTATTTAGTCTAGAAATTTTGAAAAATAAAATAAAGCCGTATAAAAGTGAATCAAAGACTCTTTTTACTTCTTACCCGAAGCATAAAACTATCAAAACGTCCCAGCAAAGTTCATATATCCTCCATTGCGTCAAATATTTTCAATATTCGAAATCTAGTATAGTTAGGTTCGGATTAAGACTGCCACAATATTCGAAAAATTTATCAATTTCGAGATCTCCTCTTGAAGCTTTCTTGAAACTATCTTCCCTAAAATTTTCAAATTCTCTTTGATTATATACAAAAGTTTCAATTGGCTGGATGAGAAAACTTGCAAGATTTCACTTCAAAAAATTTTGTTTCTTATATCGTCATATTTTTTGTTGTCGCAGCAATAAACCTATGATCATTTATTAAAGCGGTTATTTTGTGTATATCTTTTCTAGTTGAGTAAAATTAAGATCTTAAAGCATGAGCTACTATGGCTAAAACAATGTAAAAAAAATTGCATCCTTGGAAAATTTTTCGTGAATGGAAACGACAAAGTTCGAAAATTTCTTAAAAGAGAATTCTAATTCTGATTGTGTACGACTTTTTATAAAAACTACCTAGAAGAACTGATTGGAGACTACTACATGCCTCGTATTGAACATCTACTCTGTTTGGCAAAACCCACACAAGGAATATGAAGATATCTCCATCTCGTTAATTACATTTTTTAAAAAAAAAAGTTTTAACTTAACTACCCTTCAAATACCTTCTATCTCAGCTCTTAATCTTTCATTTTACTTGTGTTCACTCAATTCTTAGTCTCTCTTCAGCATCAAAGTTTTGCTCAAAATGATGTTTTTCCATTAAAAAAATCAATCTTATCTCTTATCATCTCGGTCGAGTAATACCAGAATTGATGAGCTGCTAGAATAAAGGGCTCGATTGCTGTGAGAATCAGTTGGTTGCTGTAAGAAAAAGGTGACCGAGTCAGTCTCTAAAATTTTGTTGGCTTAAATGAAAATATCACTTCTAGGTTGGTACATGGTTGACATCATGAGAAGGTACTTGAACTAACATCACCGGATGCAAGTCCCTTGAGTGAAAATCAATTAGAACAAAGCAGATTATGAAGAAAGTAGCTGAGCATGATAGGATGGCCACCTAGATTTTCCTGATTCTCATTTGGTTGCGCAACCAGTCGACTAATTCCACTTATCTTGGGAGCATGAGGGATCCTGCTATCAACTCATCGACATCGACAAATCAATCCAACGACATCGACAAGGAATCCATTGAGCTTTAATACTTTATTACAAACAAAAAAATATCTGCAAAAACATCAACCAGAGGGCTGTTATGCAGCAAGCAAGTTCTCAGTTGATCTCAATTTTTTTTTCATAAAACTAGTTTTAAAAAAATTTCAAAAGCAAACTTGAAACTTGTTAGGTCATTTAGAGCACTTTTTGCACCTTCTTAAAAACTTAACCACTTCTTGCAAATCGTTGAAAAAAACGAAACACTTTTCTAATCATAATAAAAAAACCGAAAAACACTTTCGGCATATTGTTGGAAAACCGAACCAAATAAACGCATCTTCTTAAAAAATCGAATTGAAATTTGCAATTAGTTTAAAATATAACTTTTTTCCACCTTCTCGTGATTAATTTGAATAAAATTGTAGCTTCTTGGAAGAAAACAGGTAGATAATTAAATGTTTGATTTTCGATATATAAAATGAGATAACTACTGCTTCAAATCCATCGCCATCGAAATAACAATCCGTTTTTTTTTTGTAAAAATAGGTTCATTAAAAGTTAAATGAATCAATAAGTTGATATGAGAAATCATATTTACCCATTTTTTGTAAAACTTTACTAACAGCTGAATCAATTAAACTTATAAGGAACTCATAGTTGACTAAAGAACAGAAATGTATTCTAGTGACGGAACTAGTGATTAAAGGTGCGTCCAATTACCAAGATTTCTTCTTCCTTTTCCTGCATCTAGGTAGACAAGAGATAGCAATTGTGGATAGAAACACAATAACCTTGATTAATATTTTTTTTTATTTGTAAAAAAGTACTGGAAGTGGAAACAAAAATCGAAAGTAGTTTTAATTTTCATATGAAAAAAAACTGATTAGAACATGACTCATAGCAGCAACTATCTGGAATACTGAATTTAACTTGCAGTGTAGAAAAACTCATACCTTTGATTTATTCTTCCAATTTAACATTTATATAATTTTATATTCTTTTTGTCTAATCTGTTTACTCTTCTGCTCAAATTTGTACTCAAGAAAAGACACTACTACAAATTATTTTGAACTTTCAAAAGAGCCAGCAGCAACTGAGGTAATTTATTGTTCGTAAAAATCCTACAAGGGAAAAACCGAACTGTGCTTTCAATTTTTCAAAAAAGTGAGCTGGGACAAATTAAAAAGCAACAGTTTGTCTATCTCGATGGAAAGAGAAGAAGCAATCCCTGTAATTGGCCGCACGTTTGTTCACAATGCTGAAAAAGCGCATGGCCTGGTTCCCATACTAGAACTAATTTCTGGCAATGTGTCTTCCTTGGATGAGGAGCTTGTCATCTGTAGTAAAGTAGATGAAGTAGAAAATCAAAAAAAAGACAAGTTTGTGCCACAACCAAGAAAAACAATGTGAAGGAATCACCCTTTGTTCAGATTCGACTCTTTACTGCTAAGAAGAATGAAGAAAAGAAATAAAATGCTTATGTCAACTGAACTATGAGCAAAATCAAAAAGTCAAAGAACCATCCCAATTTAGGGAGATTTTTTTTTTTGAGAATTGTAGTGTACAACAATTTTTGTTCATTATGCTAACTATGGCTTCCAATCAAATTATCTTATGAGATCCTTTTTCAATTCGTTTTTGAGAAGACTAGTGTGAGTTGATTTATCGTTTTATCGAAACTTCTAAATTTCACAAAAACTCTTTAATTGTTTCAGGCCGTTTCACAAAAAAATCTCAAACGTTCGCTTATTGTTTTCAAATCATAAACAATAGCAAATATGTGGAGTTTGAAACTGGATTGATTCTCCATTAAAAAAATCAATCTTATCTCTTATCATCTCGGTCGAGTAATACCAGAATTGACGAGCTGCTAGAATAAAGAGCTCGATTGCTGCGAGAATCAGTTGGTTGCTGTAAGAAAAAGGTGACCGAGTCAGTCTCTAAAATTTTGTTGGCTCAAATGAAATATCACTTCTAGATTGGTACGTGGTTGACATCATGAGAAGGGACATGAACTAACATCACCGGATGCAAGTCCCTTGAGTGAAAATCAATTAGAACAAAGCAGATTATGAAGAAAGTAGCTGAGCATGATAGGATGGCCACCTAGATTTTCCTGATTCTCATTTGGTTGCGCAACCAGTCGACTAATTCCACTTATCTTGGGAGCATGAGGGATCCTGCTATCAACTCATCGACATCGACAAATCAATCCAACGACATCGACAAGGAATCCATTGAGCTTTAATACTTTATTACAAACAAAAAAATATCTGCAAAAACATCAACCAGAGGGCTGTTATGCAGCAAGCAAGTTCTCAGTTGATCTCTATTTTTTTTCATAAAACTAGTTTTAAAAAAATTTCAAAACCAAACTTGCAACTTGTTAGGTCATTTAGAGCACTTTTTGCACCTTCTTAAAAACTTAACCACTTCTTGCAAATCGTTGAAAAAACGAATCACTTTTCTAATCATATTAAAAAAACCGAAAAACACTTTCGGCATATATTGGAAAACTGAACCAAATAAACGCATCTTCATAAAAAATCGAATTGAAACTTGCAATTATTTAAAAATATAACTTTTTTCCACCTTCTCGTGATTAATTTGAATAAAATTGTAGCTTCTTGGGAGAAAACAGGTAGATAATTAAATGTTTGATTTTCGATATATAAAATGAGATAACTACTGCTTCAAATCCATCGCCATCGAAATAACAATCCGTTTTTTTTTGTAAAAATAGGTTCATTAAAAGTTAAATGAATCAATAAGTTGATATGAGAAATCATATTTACCCAATTTTTGTAAAACTTTACTAACAGCTGAATCAATTAAACTTATAAGGAACTCATAGTTGACTAAAGAACAGAAATGTATTCTAGTGACGGAACTAGTGATTAAAGGTGCGTCCAATTACCAAGATTTCTTCTTCCTTTTCCTGCATCTAGGTAGACAAGAGATAGCAATTGTGGATAGAAACACAATAACCTTGGTTAATATTTTTTTTTATTTGTAAAAAAGTACTGGAAGTGGAAACAAAAATCGAAAATAGTTTTAATTTTCATATGAAAAAAAAAACTGATTAGAACATGACTCATAGCAGCAACTATCTGGAATACTGAATTTAACTTGCAGTGTAGAAAAACTCATACCTTTGATTTATTCTTCCAATTTAACATTTATATAATTTTATATTCTTTTTGTCTAATCTGTTTACTCTTCTGCTCAAATTTGTACTCAAGAAAAGACACTACTACAAATTATTTTGAACTTTCAAAAGAGCCAGCAGCAACTGAGGTAATTTATTGTTCGTAAAAATCCTACAAGGGAAAAACCGAACTGTGCTTTCAATTTTTCAAAAAAGTGAGCTGGGACAAATTAAAAAGCAACAGTTTGTCTATCTCGATGGAAAGAGAAGAAGCAATCCCTGTAATTGGACGCACGTTTGTTCACAATGCTGAAAAAGCGCATGGCCTGGTTCCCATACTAGAACTAATTTCTGGCAATGTGTCTTCCTTGGATGAGGAGCTTGTCATCTGTAGTAAAGTAGATGAAGTAGAAAATCAAAAAAAAGACAAGTTTGTGCCACAACCAAGAAAAACAATGTGAAGGAATCACCCTTTGTTCAGATTCGACTCTTTACTGCTAAGAAGAATGAAGAAAAGAAATAAAATGCTTATGTCAACTGAACTATGAGCAAAATCAAAAAGTCAAAGAACCATCCCAATTTAGGGAGATTTTTTTTGTTGAGAATTGTAGTGTACAACAATTTTTGTTCATTATCCTAACTATGGCTTCCAATCAAATTATCTTATGAGATCCTTTTTCAATTCGTTTTTGAGAAGACTAGTGTGAGTTGATTTATCGTTTTATCAAAACTTCTAATTTTCACAAAAACTCTTTAATTGTTTCAGGGCGTTTCACAAAAAAATCTCAAAAGTTCGCTTATTGTTTTCAAATCATAAACAATAGCAAATATGTGGAGTTTGAAACTGGATTGATTCTCCATTAAAAAAATCAATCTTATCTCTTATCATCTCGGTCGAGTAATACCAGAATTGACGAGCTGCTAGAATAAAGAGCTCGATTGCTGCGAGAATCAGTTGGTTGCTGTAAGAAAAAGGTGACCGAGTCAGTCTCTAAAGTTTTGTTGGCTCAAATGAAAATATCACTTCTAGATTGGTACGTGGTTGACATCATGAGAAGGGACATGAACTAACATCAACGGATGCAAGTCCCTTGAGTGAAAATCAATTAGAACAAAGCAGATTATGAAGAAAGTAGCTGAGCATGATAGGATGGCCACCTAGATTTTCCTGATTCTCATTTGGTTGCGCAACCAGTCGACTAATTCCACTTATCTTGGGAGCATGAGGGATCCTGCTATCAACTCATCGACATCGACAAATCAATCCAACGACATCGACAAGGAATCCATTGAGCTTTAATACTTTATTACAAACAAAAAAATATCTGCAAAAACATCAACCAGAGGGCTGTTATGCAGCAAGCAAGTTCTCAGTTGATCTCTATTTTTTTTCATAAAACTAGTTTTAAAAAAATTTCAAAACCAAACTTGCAACTTGTTAGGTCATTTAGAGCACTTTTTGCACCTTCTTAAAAACTTAACCACTTCTTGCAAATCGTTGAAAAAACGAATCACTTTTCTAATCATATTAAAAAAACCGAAAAACACTTTCGGCATATATTGGAAAACTGAACCAAATAAACGCATCTTCATAAAAAATCGAATTGAAACTTGCAATTAGTTAAAAATATAACTTTTTTCTACCTTCTCGTGATTAATTTGAATGAAATTGTAGCTTCTTGGGAGAAAACAGGTAGATAATTAAAAGTTTGATTTTCGATACATAAAATGAGATAACTACTGCTTCAAATCCATCGCCATCGAAAAAACAATACGTTTTTTTGTTGTAAAAATAGGTTCATTAAAAGTTAAATGAATCAATAAGTTGATATGAGAAATCATATTTACCCAATTTTTGTAAAACTTTACTAACAGCTGAACCAATTAAACTTATGAGGAACTCACAGTTGACTAAAGAACAGAAATGTATTCTAGTGACGGAACTAGGCCGACTTTTTCAGCATTGTGGTTAAAAGTGCGTCCAATTACCAAGATTTCTTCTTCCTTTTCCTGCATCGAGGTAGACAGGAGATAGCAATTGTGGATAGAAACACAATAACCTTGGTTAATATTTTTTTTTATTTGTAAAAAAGTACTGGAAGTGGAAACAAAAAGCGAAAGTAGTTTTAATTTTCATATGAAAAAAAAAACTGATTAGAACATGACTCATAGCAGCAACTATCTGGAATACTGAATTTAACTTGCAGTATAGAAAACACAAACTTTGATTTATTCTTCGATTTAACATTTATATAATTTTTCAATTCTTTTCGTCTAATCTGTTTACTCTTCTGCACAAATTTGTACTCAAGAAAAGACACTACTACAAATTATTTTGAACTTTCAAAAGAGCCAGCAGCAACTGAGGTAATTTATTGTTCGTAAAAATCCTACAAGGGAAAAACCGAACTGTGCTTTCAATTTTTCAAAAAAGTGAGCTGGGACAAATTTAAAAGCAACAGTTTGTCTATCTCGATGGAAAGAGAAGAAGCAATCCCTGTAATTGGACGCACGTTTGTTCACAATGCTGAAAAAGCGCATGGCCTGGTTCCCATACTAGAACTAATTTCTGGCAATGTGTCTTCCTTGGATGAGGAGCTTGTCATCTGTAGTAAAGTAGATGAAGTAGCAAATCAAAAAAAAGACAAGTCTGTGCCACAACCAAGAAAAACAATGTGAAGGAATCACCCTTTGTTCAGATTCGACTATTTACTGCTAAGAAGAATGAAGAAAAGAAATAAAATGCCTATGTCAACTGAACTATGAGCAAAATCAAAAAGTCAAAGAGCCGTCCCAATTTTGGGAGATTTTATGATTGTTGAGAATTGTAGTGTACAACAATTTTGATCATTATGCTAACTATGGCTTCCAATCAAATTATCTTATGAGATCCTTTTCAATTCGTTTTTGAGAAGACTAGTGTGAGTTGATTTATCGTTTTATCGAAACTTCTAATTTTCACAAAAACTCTTTAATTGTTTCAGGGCGTTTCACAAAAAAAATCAGATTTTGACTATTTGAAATTGCAATTAAATTCAAACTGGAGCTTCATATCCAGTAAGAACACAAAAAAATTCGGAATCTAAAACGAAACTGGTAGAGAGAAAAACAAATTCTCTTGTGTTCGACGAAAGGTTTAATAGTTCAAAAAACTCTCAGAGTTTCACTACCTATCAGAAGTTTTTCTTGAAATTAACCAGCAAAATTGTGAAGATTATCAAGTAAAACCTTTCTTTGGATAGAAAAAGGAAGTTTTTTTTATATCTGAGTTGTTTTGGATCTTGCCATAGTTGTGAAAGATATGGAAAAAACTTTTTGTGAGGTCTAAATGGAGAAGAAAGTTTTTGCGTGGATACGCTTTGCGTAGAAAAACAAACAATATTTTCATCAGATCATTTCCCAGTTAGCTTTAAGATAAATTTTTCTTCCATCATTTTTCAGCCCCACTCAAAAACAAATTTTAGCATAGTTTGAGATTCTGAAAATTAGCAGAGTTTGAACTTTTCATGTAAAACAATATAAAAAATATCAATTTATAGTGAAGTTAAAAAACTAATTTTCCCGAAAACTAATACTAAACTCATTCGCAACAAATTGTTACAAAAAATTAACTGCAAAAAAATCTTTTCACCGACAAAAGAAAAAAATCACACTGGCAAAAGAAAATAATCAGAAACACTCAATTCAAAAATACGTTTTAACAGCTAACAAATTAAACGTATTGCACAGTTACGACACACCTTTATGTTGAACACCAAAAAAGCCATAAAGGAGTACCACCGTTTTAAGAATCGTTGAAAAGGATCTTTTCCCTCTGATAATGTACCTAATTCTGTCAAAGTGAGGTAACAAAAACATTTCATTCTATCTTCTTCCTTTTCTTCTTCCTTTTCCTGCATCGAGGTAGACAGGAGATAGCAATTGTGGATAGAAACACAATAACCTTGGTTAATATTTTTTTTTATTTGTAAAAAAGTACTGGAAGTGGAAACAAAAAGCGAAAGTAGTTTTAATTTTCATATGAAAAAAAAAACTGATTAGATCATGACTCATAGCAGCAACTATCTGGAATACTGAATTTAACTTGCAGTATAGAAAACACAAACTTTGATTTATTCTTCGATTTAACATTTATATAATTTTTTAATTCTTTTCGTCTAATCTGTTTACTCTTCTGCTCAAATTTGTACTCAAGAAAAGACACTACTACAAATTATTTTGAACTTTCAAAAGAGCCAGCAGCAACTGAGGTAATTTATTGTTCGTAAAAATCCTACAAGGGAAAAACCGAACTGTGCTTTCAATTTTTCAAAAAAGTGAGCTGGGACAAATTTAAAAGCAACAGTTTGTCTATCTCGATGGAAAGAGAAGAAGCAATCCCTGTAATTGGACGCACGTTTGTTCACAATGCTGAAAAAGCGCATGGCCTGGTTCCCATACTAGAACTAATTTCTGGCAATGTGTCTTCCTTGGATGAGGAGCTTGTCATCTGTAGTAAAGTAGATGAAGTAGCAAATCAAAAAAAAGACAAGTCTGTGCCACAACCAAGAAAAACAATGTGAAGGAATCACCCTTTGTTCAGATTCGACTATTTACTGCTAAGAAGAATGAAGAAAAGAAATAAAATGCCTATGTCAACTGAACTATGAGCAAAATCAAAAAGTCAAAGAGCCGTCCCAATTTTGGGAGATTTTATGATTGTTGAGAATTGTAGTGTACAACAATTTTGATCATTATGCTAACTATGGCTTCCAATCAAATTATCTTATGAGATCCTTTTCAATTC